CCCCGGCGCCGCCCCGCCCCCGGCGCCGCCCCGCCCCGCCCCCTGCACACCTGCACAGGAAGGAGAGCCACTCCAGCAGGAAGCGCCGCGTCTTCTCCACGCCCTGCGTGTCTGAGCCCCAGTGCTCCAGGCCGTAGTGCGTGAAGTCCCGTAGGATGTCCAGGCGCTCTAACGACGAGATGTCCCAGTGTCGCTGCTCCTTGATCTCCGTGAACAGCCAAGGCTTCAACAGGGCGCCGCTGTGGCCGGGCCTGTGTTCAGGGGTCAGTGGCCACCCAGTGGCCTGCCCCAGCCGGAGCACCCACCCGCCCCCGTGGAGGTCACGCCACGTCACTGCCAGCTCCCTGAGCTCTCTGACCTGTCCCCGCAGGGCCAGGCACTGGGTCAGACTCCCCTGCCTGCCCCTGCTGTGGGCTCCAGCCGCCGCTGCACACTCACCGGGCAACCATGATGCCGGCCACCCCGGTCTGTGTGGCACGGTTGGCATCCTCGTAGGACAAGATGTCCCCGTTTCCTGAGGGGACAGAGGCTGCGCTCTGGGATCCTGCCAACCCAGCGGCCCCCAGCAGGATACACAGGCCCACGGCTGCCCGGGCACCCACCAAACAGGGGCATGGGGCTGGCGGCCCCCACGCACTGCTCGATGTACTGCCAGTCCGCCAGCTTGGTGTAGCGCTGCTCCCGTGAGCGGCCATGGAGCTGTGGAGGAGCCGCCACGAGGGAGGCAGAGAATGAGTGGCAGAGACAGAGACCCAGAAAAACGGGCAGACATGGAGCGAGGTCTGGAAGGGCCACTGGGGCCACCCCCCGAGGCCAGGGCACCCCAGACCCACCGTGACCAGAGCAGCGCCCCAGTCCCGCAGCTGGGGCAGCAGGCGGTGTGCCAGGTTCACGCGCTCCTGGACGCCCGTGCGGATCTTCACCGTCAGGGGCACATCCAGCACCTGCGGGACCAGGACAGCACGTGGGTGGCAGGCCTGACCGCGGGGACTGCATGGGACGTCGCTGGTCATACCTGGTTCATGCCGCGGACGATCTGCTGGAACTTGCTGGAGCGATTCATGAGGGCGCAGCCCCCGCCCTGGAAGACACCGGAGGCTGGAGCGAGGTTGGGCTGCTGGCTGGACCCCACGTCCTTCACTTACCCCCCTGGCCCTGCCTTGGGGTGCCGGCTGGACCCCATGTCTTCACCCCCCCACCGCCCTGCCCACCAGCAGCTGCCACCCAGGATGCAGCGTGGGTGCACGTCCCTGCATGCCCTGCCACGTCACCAGCTGGCTCAGTGTCCAGACGGGGAAACAGGTGCAAGGCCACAGGCGGGCCCAGGCTGGGTCCCAGGCCCCAGTGCCCGCACCTTCTTATACACGAGGTCGATGGGGCAGCCCACGTTGATGTCCACGAGGTCCACAT